GAGAGAGAGTAACGGGGGGATGGTTGGGGGAGAATGTACAGAAAGTACTCACACGTACCCGTGTAACGGGGTGTGGGAGAAAGTCAAGGAAGAAACGCACGTACCTACACGTACCCACCTTTCATGGCAGGGCAATGGTACCCCTACCTACCCCCCTTAACCCCTTACCCCCACAGCATGCGGAAATATACGTACGAAAGTGCATACTCATGAATGCAAACAAACAAACAAAAATCACTCAAATAAAACACGCAAAAGAACACTTGCAAACTGTAATAATAAACATTCAACATTCTAATAATATCCACTTACTTATTCATACAACTATCTATCCTTCTACCCATCTATTTATTAATCTATCTACGTATCCATACCTCTCACTCTCTGCCTGTCTATACCTATTGATGTATCTATCAATCTGTCTATACCTATTGATTATCTATCTATCTATCTATCTATACCTATTGATCTACCTACCTATACCTATCGATCTATATCAATATATTTATCTATATGTCCATCTAAAATAACAAAATATCTTTCAATATATATTTTGGCAACCTATTCTTTCCTTCTTCTTCATTTCCTTCCTTCCTTCTTCCCTTCATTTATTCGTTCTTCCCTTACTTCCTTCCTCCCTCCTTTCTTCTTTCTTTCCTTTCTTCCATCCTCTTATTTCAATGATTTACTCATTCCTTTCTATTCCTTTCTCCCTCCCTCCTCCCTCCCTCCTCCCACCACCCTCTTTCTCTCCCTTCCTTCCTCCCACCCTCCGTCCCTCTCTCCCTCTCTTCAACCTCCCTTCTTCTCACCCACCCTCCCTTCCTCCTTCTCACCCTCCCACCCTCCCTCCCTCCTCCCTCTCACCCTCCCTCCCTTCCATCCTTCCCTCCCTTCCTTCCGCCCTTCCTTCCCTCCCTCCCACCCTCCCAATCCCTTCCTCCTTCCCTCCCTCCCTATCACCCTCTCTCCCACCCTCTTTCCCTCTCTCCCCCTCCCTTCGTTATCGACCTCCTTCGTTTTATCTTCTTTGTGCCTCTTCTTTCCTTCTTTCCTTTCCTTCCTTTCTCTCATTCTCGAAGGGAAGGAAGGGAGGGAGAAAGGGAGGAATAAGGAAAGGAAGGAAGGAAAGAAGGGAATGGAGGGAGAAAGGGAGGAATAAGGAAAGGAAGGAAGGAAAGAAGGGAATGGAGGGAGAAAGGGAGGAATAAGGAAAGGAAGGAGAATGAATGAATGAATGAAGGGAAGAAAGGAAAGAAAAGGCTATTGGCGCGGATGCAACTCGCGTTATCCGACAAAATAAAACAACACGAGATGCCCCCCCCCCTCTTCACCCCTCCCCCTGCCAACATAGGCCTACCCACGAAAGACGCTTAATAGTCGCTGATAGATTGGCTGGCCACGGTGCTGACAAGAGGCCTAATTCGATGATAGGCTTGAAATTCACTTTTTTGGGGGGGGGGGGGGGCGGAGGGGGGCTGGCGTCCTCTCTCCGGTGACCCGAGGTCGTGTTCGCACCCTCGCTTCGTCTTTCATTTACTCTGCTCTCTACTCTTGACTGTGTTCGCTCCTTATTTTTCTTTCTTTCTTGCTTTTTCTCTTTCATTTGTACTTTGCTCTATTCTATTGTTTCTTTACTTTTTTATTCTTCTCTTCTCTCCTCTACTTTTCTCTACTCTGCTCTATTTCTACTTTACTTTTTTCTACTCTTCTCTACCTTTCTCAACTCCACTTTTTTCCTACTCAAATCTTTCCCTCTTCTCTTCCCCACTTCTAGTTCTACTTTTATTCTACCCCACTACATTGCAATTTGCTCGTTCTTTCCAACTCTCCTCTTCCCTCTCTGTTCTACTTTTCTCTCTCCCCCCCCTCCCACCTCACTCTCTTTCGTTTTTCTTCTTCCTCATCCTTCACCCTTTTCTTCATTTTTCTTTCTTTCTTTCATTCTCTTCCTACCTCCCCCCCCTCTCTCTTTTCCTCTCTTATTCCTTTCTCCCACTCCCTTCTTCCCTCAACTTCCATTCCCTTTCCGACCTCTCCCTCCACCCCACCTCCTGCCAACTAACAACAACACAAAAAAAACAAAACAGATATAATCAAACAATATCCGTCAAGATTTCAAAACTTCCGACCCCCTGTCAAACCCTCCGACCAGACGCACCCGAACTCACCCTGCCAAACTTCCTCGACCTTGCTCGACCTCATCCTATTCAAATATCCAAAGCAAGAACACCCAATCAAGTCAAAATTCCCCATCTAACCCAACCTTACTCGCGCCTATCGGAAAACTAACGCACAAACAAAGAAACAAACCATCCCTTCCTTCTCCTCTCACTCTCATCCTATCAACCTCTCTCTCTCTCTCTGTCTCCCTCTTACCACTCCCTCCCTTCCTCCCCCTCCCTCTCTTCCTCTCTTCCCCCTTCCATCCCTCCCTCTCTCTTCCCCTCTTCACTCCTCCCTCCCTCTCCCTCTCGCACCTTCCCTCCTCCCTTTCTCTTCCCTCTCTTCACCCTCCCTCCCCTCCCTTCCTCCCCCTCTCCCCATTCCTCCCCCTTCCCTCCCTCCCTCCCATTTCCCCTCCCCCTCCCCCCTCTCCGCGACGATAGGCCTACCCGGCCCGTCCGGGTCCGGCCCGTCACCTGTACGGTTTCCTTCGCCGGCTGACCTAATCTAACGGGGAGGGCGAGAGGAGGCCGGGTGACGCAACGGCAGCAGCGCCCTTGGTTGAGGGTGAAGCCGCCTCCGTGTCGCTCGCCTGCCGTGGGTTAGGGCGTGTGTCTGCTTTGTCTGTCTGTCTGTCCCGTGTCGCTCGTCTGCCGAGGGTTAGGGTGTGTTTCAGTCATGTGTCTGTTTTATCTTTGTCCGCCAGTCTGTCTTGTGTCGCTCGCCTTAGGGCGTGCGTGTGTCTGTCTGTCTGTATTGTCTTTGTTTGATTGTCTGTCTGTCTGTTTTCTGTCCCTGTCTGTCTGTCCACCTCAGCCTCTCGTCTTCTTGTTCCTTTCTGAATGCGAGTCGGTCGCCATATCCCGGTTTTGTTCATTTCTTCCTTTCTTATATTTCCTCTTCATCTTTTCCTCATTGACGCGTGTGTCGGTCGCCTTATCTAAATTCCCTTCACACTCTTATTTTTATTCTTCTAATCATTATCAATATTATCTTCCTCCTCTTCCTCCTTTTTCCCACTAATCTCATTAAATTATTTGCTTTAGTCCAAATCAGTCAAATGACTTACATCAAAGATCAAAATAAACCAATCAACCAATTGACTTACACATGAAATAGGGAAAAAATATCGCGAAAAAATACTCAAAATTTAAGCAAATTACAAGAATAAAAAAAAAAGTTTTCCCGTCAATTTAACAACTAAAACCGCAACAACATTTCCCCTATTAACCCGCACAACCGACCGTGATGCAGCACGAGAGACAAGACAAAAAAAAATAACACAAAAAAACATAAAAAATAAAAACAAAAAAACAAAAGCGAAGCGCCACGCATGCTAATGGCGGCCACGCGGGAGACTGCAGTGCTGTTGTCGCCTGCCCCCGTGTGCACATATGTTGCAATTGTGGCAACGAGGGGCGGACACAGAGCAACATGGCATTACAGCAATTTCAATTATGTGCTGTCTTGGAGTTTCGCGCCCATTCGTGGACAAAATGGCGGTATAATTTTTTCCCGCATGTGCAGTCGTGGATAAAAAGGCGGTATATCTATTTTTTTTTAATCCTATTTATCCATCCGGCGTCCCTACTCGAATGTCTCTCCATAAAAAAAAAAATAATAATAATAATAATAATAATAATAAAAAAAATAAAGTAAAAAAAAAATAAATAAATAATAAAAACAATGAATAACAGACCAGCCAGCGACATTCGATAACAGACAACCCCCCACCCACTCACCCCTATTTCCCCGCCTCCCCCTCTCAAAGAAACATATATATATATATATATATATATATATATATATATATATATATATATATATATATATATGTATATATATGTATATATATGTATATATATATATATATATATATATGTATATATATATATATATATATATATATATATATATATATATATATATATGTATATATATGTATATATATATATATATATATATATATATATTATATATATATATATATATGTATATATATATATATATATATATATATATATATATATATATATATATATATATATATATATATATATACGAATAAGTGGAACGCAAACCGAAATGAGTTCCAGACAGAGGCCGCCCCAATTTATACGCCACGGAGAACATTACAAAAACAAACAAATAAATAAATAAAAACAGAAAAAAACGTTCTACATATCCCTAGAAGCCCCCCCCCACCCCCTTAACTACCCCCTAGTGTTACTCCACACAGAATATTAAATGAAAGAAAAAGAAAAAGTTACGTCACACGGAATAATACATAAAAGTAAAAAAAAAAAAAAAAAAAAATCACAAAAAAAGAAGTTACTCCGCCAAGAATATTCTATAAAAGAAAAAATAAAAGAATGTCAAGTTTAACTCTCTCTTACTAACCAACGGTAAATTTCCCACCATCAAAGAATATTACAAAACGAAAGAAAAAAATATACACAATAATTAATAAATCCAAAAATATCCAACAGGAAGACTCCCTCCCTACCCCTACCCATACCCCTACCCCCATACTGCTCCACACAGCATATTCGAATAAAAAATATATATAATAAAATACCTCTACTAAAAAAATCCATACACTTCTTACAAATTATTTATTTATATAAAATCACAGAATCTTCCTATCTTTTTAACCCCAAATGTCCTACAACTTCTTAAAAAAGGAAAAAAAGTATTTTTTTGTTTTATCCAAACACGTCCTTAAAAAAATCATCCGTCCAAGTTTTATTTTAATTTTTGGGTTTCTTTCTCCTTCCAAAACCCATATAAACCTTTAAAAAAAGGATAAACAAAAACTTCCCGGAGGTACTCACCATTGGATGACTTGAGGTCCCGGTGGATGAGCGTGATCGGCGCCTGGTTGTGGAGGTAGTTCATCCCGCGGGCGATCTGGATGGCCCAGTCGGTCAGCACGGACGGCCCGATGCTCTTGGTCTGCTGCAGGACCCTGCTGAGGGAGCCGCCCCGCGCGTACTCCATCACCAGGCACAGGTTGGGCTCCACCAGGCACACGCCCTTCAGCGCCACTATGTTCACGTGCTTGAGCAGCCAAAACAGCTTGGCCTCCTGCCTCACGTTCTCGATGGTGACGCTGATGTCCTCGTCGGGGTCCTGCCGCGCCGCCTTCACCGCCACCTCATGCCCCCGCCACAGGCCGCGGTACACCTTGCCGAAGCCCCCGACCCCGATCACCTCCTCCAGCTCCAGCTCCTGGAAGTCGATCTCCACCGGCTCCACGTCTTTGATGTTCTGCACCTCCGCCACGAAGTTGGACGGGAAGATGCCCACCTGCGGGAGGGCGCGGGGCGTCAGGACAACGGGGAACACGCACGTAATGCATGAATACATACATGAATACATATAGACATGCTGCACATACATAAATATACATATGTATACATACATACATACGCAAAAGGCATACATATATATACATGGATATATATTCATACAAACACACATACATAACTACATACATATATGCATACAAACACACCAGCGCTGATCAAACGGAGACAACATGGAACACACAACACAAACACACACACACACACACACACACACACACACACACACACACACACACACACATACACACACGCACGTATACACGCACACACATACAACACCCCCACCACACATACGCACGCACATCCCCCCCCCAACACACAAACAGACACTACACCTACCGCCCACACACACACACACACAAATACTACACCCCCCCCCACAAACAGACACTACACCCCCCCACACACACACACAAAACACAACACCCCCTCACACACACACACACACACAAAAACACAACACCCCCCACACACACACACACACACACACACACACACACACACACACACACACACACAACACACACACAACACACACACACACACACACACACACACACACACACACACACACACACACGTGCGCATCGAAGCACCACCGAGCACGCAACACGGCTCTCAGGTGTTAATTCAGCTGGGCAAAAATGGGCCCGTGACTTCCTACGTTAAACCATCAGCTTTAAACTTGAGTGTGATATCCTCGGCAAATACTTTTCTACGCGCAATAGGCGGCTCATTATTATTAATATCTCACGAGCTGTTTTAGAGGACTGTATTTCTCTTTATCTCTCTCTTTATTTTTCTCTTTCTCTGTCTCTCTGTCTCTGTCTCTGTCTCTCTCTCTCTCTCATAATTCTTTCTCTCTCTCTGCGCGGTCTCTCTCTCTCTCTCTCTCTCTCTCTCTCTCTCTCTCTCTCTCTCTCTCTCTCTCTCTCTCTCTCTCTCTCCTCTCTCTCTCTCTCTCTCTCCCCTCTCTCTCTCTCAATAGGCGGTCTCATTATTATTAATACTCACGAGCTGTTTTAGAGGACTGTATTCTCTTTTATCTCTCTCTTTATTTTTCTCTTTCTCTTTCTTTCTTTGTCCATCTCTGTGTCTTCTCTCTGTGGTCTGTCTGTCTCTTGTCCTCTCTACTGTCTCTGTCTCTGTGTCTCGTCTTCTCTGTTCATCTGTCTCTGTCTCTGTCTCTGTCTGTCATCTCTCTCTCTTTATTGCTATTCAATCTCATCTCTTCTCCTCCTCTCTCTCTCTCTCTCTCTCTTCTCTCTCTCTCTCTCTCTCTCTCTCTCTCTCTCTCTTCTCTCTCTCTCTCTCTCTCGCTCTCCATTTCTTTTCTTTTTCTTCTTTCTTTTTCGCGGTCTCTCTCTCTCTCTCTCTCTCTCTCTCTCTCTCTCTCTCTGCCTCTCTCTCTCTCTCTCTCTCTCTCTACTCTCTCTCTCTCTCTCTCCCTCTCTCTCTACTCTCTTCCATCTCTTCCTCTCTCCCCTCTCCTACTTACTCTCTCCATCTCTCTCTCCCTCTCCTATTCCCTCTCTCCCTCTCCATACTTACTTCATCTCTTCCCTCTCCATACTTCCCTCTCTCCCTCTCCATACTTTCTCTCTCTCCATACTTCCCTCTCTCCCTCTCCTACTTCCCTCTCTCATCTCTCCATACTTCCCTCTCTCCCTCTCCATACTTCCCTCTCTCCCTCTCCATACTTCCCTCTCTCCCTCTCCATACTTCCCTCTCTCCCTCTCCATTATTCCCTCTCTCCCTCTCCATACTTTCCCTCTCCCTCTCCCTTCTCTTCACTTCATTCCTCCCTCTCCCTTCTCTTCCCCTCTCTCCTTCTCTCCTTCCCTCTCTCCCTCTCCCTAGGCTAATCCCCTCCTCAGTACTCCCTCCTTTCTTACTCCTTCCTCCTTTCCCTCTCCCTCTCTCCCTCTCTTTCCATCCATTCCTTCCTCTCCTCTCCTTTCCTTCTTCCCCTTCCCTCTCCCTCTCTTCCCTCATTTCACCCTTTCCTCTTCTCCTTCCTCTCTCTCTCCATTCTCCTCCCTCTCTCTCACTTCCCTACCTCCTTCCACTCTCCCGTCCCTCCCTTTCACTCCCTCTCCCTTTTCACCCTCCCTCCTTCCCCTCCGTCCCTCCCTTCCAACTCCTTTCCCTCTCCCCTCCCCCTTCCCCTCCCCACCTCCCCATCCCACCCTCCTTCAACCCGCACTATTTCCCGAACAGCTGTTTTCTCTCCTCCTCCTCCTCCTTCCTCCTCTCCGCCTTGTCCCATACGCCTTCCCATTCATGGATCGTGATCAATAACCTTCCACTTACTCATCGCGGATTTCCGCTCTTCCCCGGGCATCTACTCGTCTCCCATTCATCCGTCTCGTCTTCGTTCCTTCTCTTCATGCTTCATCCATGCGTCTTTCTTGTTTTGTTTTGTTTTATTCCCGTGTTTACACTTCTTTCTTGTCGTTTCTCAGTTTCTCTCTCTCTCTCTCTCTCTCTCTCTCTCTCTCTCTCTCTCTCTCTCTCTCTCTCTCTCTCTCTCTCTCTCTCTCTCTCTCTCTCTCTCTCTCTCTCTTTGTCTTTCATTCTTTCTCTCTTTATAACATGCAGACATGCATACAAACATAAAAATTTGCAAACACGCGCACGCACGCTCTCTCTCTCTCTCTCTCTCTCTCTCTCTCTCTCTCTCTCTCTCTCTCTCTCTCTCTCTCTCTCTCTCTCTCATCTCTCTCTCTTCTCTTCTCTTCTTTATAACATGCAGACATGCATACAAACATAAAAAAATTGCAACACGCGCACGTACGCTCTCTCTCTCTCTCTCTCTCTCTCTCTCTTCTCTCTCTCTCTGCTCTCTCTCTCTCTCTCTCTCTCTCTCTCTCTCTCTCTCTCTCTCTCTCTCTCTCTCTCTCTCTCTCTCCCCCCCCCTAATGAAGCACCAATTTCCCTCCTCCTCACCCATCCGCGCAAGCACTACTTCCTCTTCCCTGAATCTCTCCCTCATCCACCCATCCACCGAAGCAAACAAGGAAGCACCCCTATGCCATCCCTCATCCACCTGAGCACCCTCTCTCTCCCCTCATCCACCCTTTCTTTCCCCTCATCCATCCTCTCTATTCCCTCATCCACCCTCTCTAACCTCTCATCAAATCCACCTCTCTCTCTCCCTCATCCATCCTCTCTATTCCCTCATCCACCCACTATAACCTCTCATCCAAATCCACCCTCTCTCTTCCCCATCCACCCTCTCTCTCCCCTCATCCACCCAAGCGCCAAATCCCTTCATCCAGCCAAACATGCACCATTCCCAACCACCGTCATCCACACAAGCAAGCAAGCACGCATCCCTTCATCCATTTAAAGAATCGTCAATCCAAGCAAGCACTTTCACCCTCAAAGAATCCACACACTCTTCCCCTCTTCATCCAAAAAAAAAAAAAAACACCCTCTTCACCTCTCATCCATCGAAGCAACCACTCCCCCCACCACTCATCCACTTCAAGCCTTCCTACCTCTTCATCCATCCAAACTCCCTCTACACCCTCCCTCATCCGCCCAAGCAAGCAAGCACCACACACCACATCCACCTAATTTCCTCTCCCCTCTTTCACCCAAGCAAGTCCCCCTCCCCCTTCCCCACGCATCTCTTCCCCATTCCCCCATCGCCTCCCAATTCCCCACCCCCATCCATCCTCACCTTTCCATTGATCTTCCCCGTCCATCCCCTCCCCAATTCCCCACCCCACCCCCTTCAATCCTCACCTTTCCATTGATCTTCCCCATCCCCCGTCCCCTCCCAATCCCCGTCCCGTCCCCCTTCCCCACCCACCCCACATCCCCTCCACTCACCCCTTACCCTACCCCCTTCAATCCTCACCTTTCCATTGATCCCCTTCCCCTTCCCCTTTCCCCCTTCAATCCTCACCTTTCCATTGATCTTCCCCATCCTCCCCCCTCCCCTTCCCCTTTCAATGCTCACCTTTCCATTGATCATCCCCTCCCCCACGCTATTCCCCCCCCACCCCTCCCTTTCCCTCCCCTTCATCCTCACCTTCATTGATCTTCCCTCCCGCCCCCAACACACCCTTACCTACCCGATCACCTTTCCATTGACCCCCTTCCCCCACCCCCCTCACGATCCCCCCCCTCCTTCCCCCACCCCTTCAATCCTCACCTTTCCATTGATCTTCCCCACCCTCCCCTCCACCCCCTTCAATCCTCACCTTTCCATTGATCTTCCCCGTCCACCAGCCTTCGTCCCCGGAGATCTTGACGTCTTGACTGAGGACCTCGATGATCTCCCCGCGACGGAGGCTGAGCTCGTCGTCCCCCTGAGCCTCGTAGTCGTACAGGCTGGTGCACACACACGTCTGAGTCTGCTGGCCCGCACGACCCCCCGCTGGTGCCCCTGGGAGGGGAGGGTGTTTTGGGGAGGTAGGTAGGTGAATAAGGGGCGGGAGGCGTGAATAGGTGGTAGGTTATATGGTTAGGTAGAATGTGAGGGATGCGTAGCAGGTAAGTGGGTTAGGGTAGGGGTAGGGGAGGGATAGGTAAAGAAGGGAGGGGGTTGGGTAGGTAGGAGAGGAGGGAGAGTTGTGATATCGAGGGGTGGTAGGGGAGGGGAGGGTATGGGAGGAGAGGACAGGGAAATGGGAGACGAGAGGTAGGGTGGAGAGGAGAGGAGAGGCTTAGGAGAGGGTAGGAGATTAGAGAGAGGTAGGGTAGCTAAGGGTTACGGTAGTAGCGGAAGTATGCGCTACAGAAAGGGGGGAGTTGGGGGTTAGGTAGGAGATTAGGGTTAGGGTTAGGTTGGTTTGGATAGCTAGTTTAGGGTAGGGTTAGGTAGGGTGACTAGTAGTAGGAGCCAGCTGGTGAATGGTAGAGGTAGGGGTGGTTAGGGAAATAAGGTAAAACTGTTATTAGATAGCGTCCTTACTAATTGGTTTTAGGAATAACCTTGTGTACATTTTAAACAAAAGCATATTCTACATACATAAGTTAAGTAAATACTTACATTTATAGATATACAAAGAGATGCATAAACACACACACCTGAATTTTTAAGTGCCTTAAATACATTCCCTAAAATACCAGTACTTAAGTTCCTGGCACCATTGACCTTTCATTTTATCTTGACAGGCCACAGATAAGTCTGACATATATCTGAAGTATGTATCACAAGTGAGAGTTATGTACTTATAACGAATACTTAAGACATCTATGACTTGGCCACAGTTGCCTTGGTAAATTTCTAACATCAAATACGTAGCAGGTATACTATCATTACCGAAGGGCTACTTGGCACACTTATTTTTGGTTGAAATTGAATCCAAATAGGGTATTAATCAATGTTCATAATAATCATATAACATGCAAGTATCAATAAACACACACACACACACACACACACTCTCTCTCTCTCTCTCTCTCTTTCACACACTCCACATTTCACTTTCTTCTCTTCCCTCTCTCTCTCCCTCTCCCTCTCTCCCTCTCCCCTCCTCTCCCTCTCTGCACACACACACACACACACACACACACACACACACACACACACACACACACACACCACCACACTTTCTCCTTTTACTGAGTAATCATAAAGGTGTTTTTACTCTGTTCACACCTAAGCCTATACAAAGTCCACCTCAAATGACATAAAAATGGTTATTCATCCAGAGCATATTACCGTATGTATGAGCTTTTCATCCCCAAAACCACAGAAACGTATAAATAATTTGGTTGTGAAGGGTTTTGTGTTCTGACATTACAGATGCACTTTATTGACAATAATATTTTCAATTTATATAAAAATCCCTGCATCTCTTTGTCGCAACAATCCTAGTGATCCTTTTTTTTATATAAATAATCCCTGTATCTTTACACCAAAAAAACTATCTGCCTATTTATCAAGAGTAGCTATCTATTTAGGTATTTACTAAGTATTCACAAAACTAAATCTAATCTGCAAATGAGACAGCTATCAGTTATAGCTTATCACTACTGAATATACTTTGAACTGTGGAAAAAAAGAAGTAAATTCTAGTCTCATACATTACACAAACATAACGCTAATTGTAATAAATAACCCTTGTGCTGTGTATTAATTATGAAACAAACATCACATACAAAAATGGTTATCTTAAGAATCTAGCCATCTACATTTCTTTTCACGGTAACTTTTATTTACATACAGGCCTATCTCATTCATCTACCGCTAACCCACTGATGCCAGGAGTGATGAGCCAATTGTTGCACTAGGCCTACCTGACCTCACCTACAAATGTCATTCTTTGAATTTCCCACAAGAAAAGTTTTTATCTTTAATTCTTTTATCTTTGCCAAAAAAGTAATGATGATGATGATGATGATAACAATTCATACCAAAAGTACTAAGAAGAGAAAATACTTTTTAAAAAGTTAATATTCAAGACATAGGGTAAACGGGTAAGATTTTATAAGTCTAATGACCGACTCTTTTGGTTACCAAGCAATTTTGGATCCATCTGTGTACACAAAATTTATAAAAAAAAAAAAACTAATACAAAGTAGACATTGCATATTCACCTATCCTGTACCAGTGGATGAATGGCAATACAAAAGAAGAAATCTTTCACCTGAAATACTTTATTCTTCTTCCTTCAAAGGGAAATACAAAAATGCAATATGCAAAAATACAAAAAAAGAAAACAACAAAAATCTTTTATATAAACAAAATAAGTATTCACCTACACTGCTCAGATCTTATCATACTAACATAAAAGAAAATTATCTAAATCTACCAAATCTTTGATTGATGAATAATGGATATCAACCATAAAATATTTCTTTGAATATGAATTAACTGCCAATAAGTATGTTTATTTCAGTACTGTAGAATAATATAGGTTTAGATTATCTAACATTCAAAGCATCAGTCTTATATTCAATAGAGTAACTTAGCACACTGAAGGAGTTTGATAAAGAAAATCAGTCACAGCTTTTTTAACATTGCAAAAGAATATAATAATCACAATAATAATATAATAATATCAATAAAAATAATGATGATTTGCCATCACAAAATAATGATAGCCTAATAAATAATAACACTTTTAATAATGATGATAATACTAGTAATCATAATCAAAATGATAAGTACAATAATAAAAATGGTAGAATAGTAATAGTGATAGTGATAGTGATAGTAATAGTAATAATAATAATAACAATAATAAAAAAATAATAATAATAATAATTAGTAATATAAATTGATGGTGATAATAATAATAATAACAATAACAATAATAATAGGAGTAATAATAACAACAACAACCACAACATTAATAATAACAGTGACAATATTCTGATCATATTACATTCGCATTTAACAGGCCTAGTGCACATTTTAAGGCTGCTTTCATTCAGAATTCTTTTTTACTGATAGCATCCCTCTAGGATCGTATTCAACAAATTTCTAGGACAAATACAGACAATATAGTAACACTGCCAGTAAAAAAAGAAAAGAAAAGAAAAGAAATAAGCACGGTTTGGGCAAACAACGTTCTAGGTCTGGACGCTCCTTGTTCCCTGGTTAGTGTTCCTAGGTCGGGCAAATCAGGTGATGTTCCCCAATCTCAGCGATAATAATTCAACAATAGGCTGTTTAGGCTATCCCCCCAAAAATGTGAAGGAGGAGAAGAATATAGAAAAGAAGGAAAAGCAGGATGATAATGATGATGATGATGATGATGATGATGATGATAAAAGATGAAGATGATGATGAAAAAAAGTGATGATGAAGATGATAATAATAATAATAATAATAATAATAATGAGGAGGAGGAGGAGTAAAAGAATGAGACCGATTTCAGAGTCAGACATGGCTAATAGAACCTCAGTTAACAGTTGCCTCTACCTCCTCCCCCTCCCTTTACTTCTTCAACCCAATTATCTTTTTACCAAGCACAGAATTCTCTGAAAGTAACAATCACAAACATTACAGTAAATCTCAAAAAATTCAAAATATATTGAAAAATTCCTACTTTTTGCCTCCTATCTCCCACCCCCCCCATCAGAAACACAACCCTAGTGTAATATTTAATTAGCTAAATAACTCATATGCATTATCTACTCCAAAGTGACAACAAAGTATCCTCAAAATATTAAATTGACAAGCACAAGAGTAACTCCTTTCTCCTTTTTCTCTTTCCAGCATTATTATTCTTCCCTTCAACATGCTTAAAAAAAAAACATACTCTCTAAAAATGTTGTATTGTCAGGGTTTAATTATTAGAGTAGCAATGCACTGGGGACCAAACATTGTGGAGAGGTGCCTGAATGGCATACTAAAGCTTCTCTCAGCTCTTCACTTCTTAGACCGTTCTCTATAATAGTCTTCAAGGAAACTACATGAAATCTTTTGGCTTTACAAACTTTACAACTTTAATTTCTGCCAAAGACAGAATCTGTGCCTGTGATACACGTTTCACCATCTACTGCTGTTTCCTTGAAGAAAATAAAGAGAATGAAGAATTTCACAGACTAATTAAAACAGCATGTCGTGATACTATTTATCCTCATTCAAATTACTTTTCCTTATTACTGAAAGGACACAAACAGGTAAATTTTTGTTCTCAGGTATGGCTGCACACGGGATGAAACATGGGAAAAGTTAACCCCCCAAAACAAATACTTGTTCAAATGATTCATATCACTGATAAATAAGAATACTTTTGTTGATATATCTGCATATAAGAGCACAAAAGAAAAGAAAGAAAGGAAGCAAGAAAGAAAAAAATATATATAAACACACAAAGTTCTGAACTTAGCCTTCTTTAAGGTTAAGAGACTCTGTTCCTAAATAAAAAATGCTTTTCCCTCTTATTATAAACAAACACACATATCTATCCTTTTTTACCATTAACCTATTGACACCAGGTATATGCACTGGCGCCAATTTTGTCAACTTGTTTACATAAATGGCTTCTCAAGGCCACTGTGACCAAGGAATCATATACTTTCAAATTACTTGCAATTTTCATACTGTGAGACAGAGAGGGGGAGGGGGAGAGAGAGAAGAAGAGAGAGAAAAGAGAGAGAAGAGGGTACAAAGAGAGAGAAGAAAGAGAAGAGAGAGAGAGGAGAAAAGACCGAAGGGGAAAGAGGAGGATGAGAAGAGAGAAAATGTGGAGCTGTATAGAAATAGAGAAAAGAAGAACAAGAGAAAAGAAGGAGGAGATAAAAAGAATCGGAGAAGTGCGCAAGAAGAATGGATGGAAACGAGACAAATGAGCTGAAGAGAGAGAGAGGAAGAATAATAAGAGGTAGAGAAATGAGAGAGAATGATTCGTATGTCTAAGAGAAGCAGAAAGAGGGAGAGCAAAGGGGAAGAAATGATGTGGTTAAGAAGCCCAGAAAGAAACCCGCCGCGGCACTTATGGATTTTTCAGAAGAGAAAGAAACAAGAGAGGAGAGGATAGTCAGGAATGATCTAGACGCGACCTGATTTGTTTTTTGAGACGTGTGGAGGAGAGCCTTTTTTTCTTTTGTTTGATGATGTGATTCTCGCCCTGATTGTGATCGATTGCCCTTGCAGAGATTTTTAATGGATGTGATCGGATGAGAGATGAGATGTTGATTCCGTAAGAACAACTGACCCCCGCCCCGCTTTCCCAAAGAAGAGAGAAGACCGAGCGCCAGCCACCAGACCCAATGATATAGATCCGACTGAACTGAGATGTGAGTAAAAGAAAGAATAGAAAGAGAGAGAGAGAGAGAGAGACGAGAGAGAGAGGGAGGAGAAGAGAGAGAGAAGAAGACCGACGACGACAGAGCACGACCCTTGCATGAGTAGTAGATTGGATTGAGATGATCAGAGAGTACGAGTCGTAATGGAGGAGAGAGGAAGAAAAAGAAGTGAGAGAAAGATGAGATGAGTAGATGACGGATGAGAGATATGAGAGAGAAGGAGAAGAGAGATGAGATGAGTAAGAGAGAGGAGAGAGAGAAGACGAGAAGAGAGAGGGAGAAGAGGAGAGAGAAGAAGAGAAGAGGAAAGAGAAGAGAGGGAGAGAGGAGAGAGAGAAGAGAGAAAGAGAGAAGAGAGAGAGTGAGAGAGAGAGAGAGATGAGAGAGAGAAGAGAGAGAGAGAGAGAGAGAGAAGAGAGAAGAGAGAGAGAGAAGAGAGAGAGAGAGAGATGGATGAGAGATTTGAGATTATCATATTACTATATGTAGCTACAAATCTGATCTAATGACAGATCAAGAAACCTCAAAC